GAACTTTCTGTCTTCAATTTTCTCCGTGTGTCCTATTAAATTTAAAGATATCCTGTTATAGATAGATTATATAAGAATGAGTAAAATTCTTACTTACGAATGATGCCAGGTAGATCAATTAAACTTAAGTTTGGCACATTGTTCCCTTTTATCTCTAAACATACAACGTTTTTCGTAAATTTGAGGCTATTAGGATCAGCTTCATTCTCGTAACTGAAATCCCAATCGACATACTGATTACTATCATTTAAAGGATTTAATAAAGCTTTCTGTGCTTTACGAGCCATAAGCTCAACACCATCGGGGCTATATATCATATTCCCAAATTTCACTTCGGTTGTACAGGGAAGGGGATTCTCGTCTTTATCGTACTCATGACGTAAAAAAATTTGACATTGCCATGGTTCTTTGGATTCGATTAAACGTAATTCCATAACACAGCGAGTACAAGTTCCATCGGACCTTGGTAGCTAAAATAAAAAAACTATGTATTCTAAGGAATATGTGGAAGTAGTGGTTAAATGGTACAAAGTGAATTACCGGAACACCGGAAATCGCCTCAAGTAACGAACTTTTACCAGCCGACTGATTACCACAAAAAACAATTGTAGGCAAGTTAACAGTAAAATGTGCACCGATACGACGCAACTGGTTTAAAATTTCAATATATTTCGATGCCTTCTTCGCATAGAGGCTTTCAGCGATTGTTGATACTTGAACCATTTTCTTAAGATGATTTGTTTCTTTTGCACGATTTGACAGAAAGAATGACTTTTTTCGAAAAAAACACGTCCGAAATATGCCGTATCGGTAAGTCAAAATCATATATGATATTAAACCATTCGTCATTTTATTCTTCCTGACAAGGAAAAAATTAGATTTAGTATGTTGTAAGATGTGATGTATGTTGTAATGATTACAAATTCATATTGGATAGTTTTGAGAACGTTCATAATTTTAATTACAGTACGTATATACTTTATCGGTCTAACCTACAATTTACTTTCCGAGCATTCGATTCTGACCACGGGTTCCGAGCTACATACAGTATTTGTATAATAACGTCAATGGAAATAGAGATATTATCTCGATGGCGGCGATATCATATTGTTTTTCTCTAGTTTCGTTAGTTGATACTCTCCACTAACAATATTCGATGATAAAAAATTTTTTCACTTGTATTTCTTATTTTAAATTGTCTAATTGATATTATTGTGGTGAAATCATGGCGAGTCAGTCGCTTCGATCTGTCTCACGCTGTGTAACGATCGGGACGGTTTCTGCTCGAAAGAGGCGTATGAATTTGGCCAAAGTTCGTAATGCTGACACAAATCAGTCCGTCACCTAACTGGTTACTTCACACACAGCAATTCCATTAGCTACATAATACTGGGGTCAATTACAAGGTAATAGTTTATCAAATATAAATAGTTTTTATTTAACAATTACACAGTACTTATTCTGATTCTTTTCATTTTTTAATACATTTTTACTTTATACCTATTATACCTAATATATCTAATATACTATTTATACCTGATATATCATTTATACCTGATATATTAATTTTAAATATATTAATTTTTTTTTTATAGAATACTTTTTATTTTATTAAATAGTATTTGATTTTTAAAGATTTCAAGAATAAATCATTGTTTTTCTTGATTATATTAATAAAAAATTAAGAATATTTTTATTAATATTTTATTGATTTAAATTAAAATTATCATTAAAATAACAAATAATATTATTAAAAAAAAAAATTCTCTTCTGATCATGTCTGTTTTGTTAAAAATTTTTCTTTTATAATAATTTTAAGCAAGAAAAAATGTTTTATACTCTTTATCGCAAGTGAGTTTCAGCTCAGGAACTCAAGAATCTTCAAAACAACTGGTGCAGTGGAATGGGACCTCTAGTCAAAGTCTATTCAAGTTTGAGAGTCTTGCTTATCCTTCGGTTGCATGAGGAAAGGCCCATGGCAGTTCTCTTTTTTTCAGTTCTCTTGTACTCCACCTTACCCTTATTATATCATAAAAACCATATACATTATCACCATCATACTCACTAAGTTAAACACTTTCCAAAACACATCTACAAACAGAGTTAGTAAGTTTACTGTTTGTTTTAA